GGGGGTGGTGGTGGCGACGGCAACGGCGATGATGGTGATGGAGGCGGCGACGATGGAGGTGGTGGCGATAGTGGTAGTGGTGGTGGTGGCGGGGACGGGGACAGTGGCGGTGGTGGTGGTGGTGACGACGACGATGGTGGTGGTGGCGTCGGTGACGGTGGCAGTGACAATGGTGGTGGCAGTGGCGGCGACAGTGATGGTGGTGGCGATGGCAGCGATGGTGGTGGTGGTGGGGGTGGGGGTGGTGATGGTAGAGGCAGTGGTGCGACAGTTTCAAACACTATTTTTTTTTTAAATATTTATGATAAATAATTTTTAAAAGTACCTTTAAAAAGTTATTTCAAACACACCCTTAGGAGGTTATTTTTCCTATTAAATTTAAAGTGTTAATATTAGTCGTTAGATTAACTTTAAAGTAAAATTTAAAGCGATCTCAATCGCGAATAGTAAAAATCATTTGATTTATCTTTTAGAATTTGAATTGTAAGTTACTTTATTATATAGATATATAATATAAAGAAGTATCATTATACAGGATACTTTATAGTACTTTAAAGACTATATAATGATACTTCTTTATATATATACATCTATATATATATATATATATATATAGATAATACATATAATGAAGCTTCATACTTATACATATATAATCAATTTGCTTATCATCTAGATATATCAAAAGATAAAGCTTTTAGTACAGGTTGCTTATAATTGTAAATTTTTGCATATTGGATTAGTACAGGTTGCTTTAAAACCTTTAACTCTTCAAGGATTAAATGCCTCTTTTATGTTAGCATTACGAGATGCTAGATGTATTAATTTTGATCAGTCTTAATTTATAACATGCAATCCAGCTTAATTATAAATTTGTACACATTGTTTACTTTAACTATTTCCATGTTAAAACGTTATCCTATATAATGATACTTCTTTGGTCGCGTATTAGGGATGGTTTAGGTCGTTTTTCCGTGGATAGGATGACAGTAGGGAATAGGGAGCAAACATCATTGAAGCCTTTGAGATACCACTATTGCTTTAAACCTATTTAAATTTAAATTTAATCATAAAAATGATTATGTTAAAAATATGGAAGAAATAGAGTTCTCTAATATTGAAAATAAATTGCAGAACTGTGATATACCCCAGTATCCCACTAAGAAAATTTATAATATTGGCACTTTTGATTTTAAATCGAGTTTAACTATAAAAATAATTGAAATGACTGTTCCTTTTGATCAGAATAGAGATATTTTACAGTTGTTAACTGAACAAGAAGTCTTAAAGGTTCAAGATAAAGATTATAAATTTTTGCATATTGGATTAGTACAAGTTGCTTTAAAACTTTCAACTCTTCAAGGATTAAATGCCTCTTTTATGTTAGCATTATGAGATGTTAGATGTCTTAATTTTGATTGGTCTTTAATGGGAGTTATGCAATCCAGCTTAAGTACTGGCCCTGTTTATTTTAACTGTTTTCCTAATCTTCTGTATCTTTGACAGATAAAAATATTTTGGATGTTTTAACATACAATATTAAAACTTATGGTTATAATTTTAAAGAAGACATAGATATAATTGTGTTTGCTTATAAGATATATTATAAAGTCATGAATACTTTATGTTCTGAAACTAAGCTTTTGAACCTTAAAGGTCAAACCACTTTAATTAAAATCAATACAATTAAAAATAAAATTGAAGTCCCTAAAACCATTAAATGGTCAGAAATTTAGTTTTTAGACACTTGAAAATTGGAGTCTGTGGTCCCTGAAAAATTAGAGATGAATGAAGAAATAACTCAAATAGGCCAATCATCCTAGGGTGATGTTACCATAAAATTTGCTAGAATAAATTTTAGGAATTATTTACAATCTTCTGATAAATCAAAAAATTTATTAGGTTATTTTACACCCTTAAGAAAACCTACTTCCTAAGTCCAAAATTGAAGAAATGATAAAGAACCCATAATTGAAGGAATTAAAATTTTCAAAAATAATATTCCACATGATATATACAAACCATCTAATGAATCTTCTCAAGAAGAAGATTATGATCCAACACCATCTGAAATCAGATTCCAACTATAGTTTCTATGGAGTTACACCCAAGAGAATTCCAGATGATAAAGGAAACCTGTAATAAATAATTTTATCTTCCTAAATATGAAGAATTTCGAAGTTGATTTTTTAAAATTATGAGTTCTGAAGAACTTCAAAATTATAAAGAAATGTTTTACTTTTATATAAAAAAGGAAAGAAGGATAATTCCTTTTGTTAATTGGTTTTTAACTTATTTTGTCTCTCCTACTATTGAACATTTAAATGTTATAGAAATGTTTCAACATAAATGGGAAACATTAGATGAAAAAACTATAAATAGTTTCTATCCCCCAACAACTGAACCAATAAAATTACATTTAAATAACTCTGAAGAGATTTTTATAAATGTTTGTTATACATGCAACACTATTTCTATAAAATAAAATAATTATACCAATGTTTG